GGAAGAATTGTTTCAAAAGAAAATTTCTTCCAGGATTTCCCTGAAATTCATAGCTGAGCAAAGTGCTTAAAGGGAAGAATTGTTTCAAAAGAAAAGCCTACTTATAAATAAAAATCTATAGAAATGCATATTGTTGTCTGCATAGAAAAGTAATAGAATTTTTTAATGTTCAAAGTCTTTGTATTATTTTAACATTTCAATTTTTATTACTCATAAAATAACATTTTCTTTTTAATAGAAATAAAGCATCAAGGGGTTTTTGACAAAAATACTCTGGATTGCTTTTCTTTTCTCCTTTATTTTATTTTGGACTTGTGCATTTTTAAAAATTAATTTGATTTTTAGTAGGCAATATCTTTTTTTCTGTGTTCCAGGAATTCCTTACAGTGAACACAGCAGCTACCTAGAAATGAAACGTTTTGTTCAGTGGCTGAAGCCCCAGAAAATCATACCTACTGTGAATGTCGGCTCCTGGAAATCTAGGAGCACAATGGAGAAATATTTTAAAGAATGGAAATTGGAAGCTGGTTATTAATGTTACCTCAAAGGACTCCATAGTAATTAAGTAACTTAGGTGTAGCTTGTTAGTTAAATCTTGAGTGATATGGAATACACTGTATGTGAAAAACCTCATGAAGGTCGCTCGTGTAGCTTATTTTCTTATCTACATTCGATTAACATGTTCAAGGTGCTGAGTACCTCTCAGCCTCATCAGTGATAACTGGGACCCGCCTCCCTAGTACCCTTGATTCTTGTCCCTCCTATGGGGGCAGTTACATTCTGCATTCAGCCTTAAGAGGGGAAATAAAGGCAGGTTTTGGGGCCAAAATGATTCATATGGATAATTAGATTGAAAGCATTATATATAAGTAATTATGTATCTTTAAAATCATTTAATATGGGGCATATTTTTATGAGATAAAACTTTTATATGATATATATACTTAAATAAAAAGTAATCTTAAATTTGCTATACAGTGTCTTGGGTTTTGGTATTTATAACTATGCCTTTCATGCAATTTTATAAAATTTCAATGAAAATCATCCAATATTTTGCTCCGAAGAAGATGACTCAAAGAGCCTAGATAATTACTCAATAAAGGATAAAGGAAAGTTTGCATGAGTGATGTTTACCTGAACTATTTATTCCAGATAACAGATAACTAAATGTTTAGATTATAGTGTGTTTTTACAGAGTGAGTTTAGATCATTTATTTATGATTTTGATCTCTCTAACACAGATTAAATAGCTGATCCAAAAAAGAAAATTTTAGGCCAATGCATATTAAAAATATTTTTATGAGGTTTAAATAAGAAAATGGCTAACATAAAGAATATATTCATGTGTTTATATGTGTATTCTTGCATTACCTGTAGCAATGAAATTAACATAGGGATTTCTTCATAGACATTTTCATGGAAAATTATTTCCAGCTTGGATTTTACTTTGTTGTGGAAGTAAGAGCTGTAGGGATCACCTTTAGGGGAGGAAAAGCTTTTAGGGGCATAGTGGTAATAAATCCAGTTTATGTTCTCAATTGACTTCAATTACACACTTAAAATATTTTAACTGGTTTGGGCTTGGTGCATTAAACTTTTTATAAGTTACTAATTACAAGTTATAATTAGAAAAACTTTATATATTCTACAAATATTGGTATTTTTAACATAGAGGAGATGGTCAAGTCATTTAGGGTCATTTTATTTATTTTTTTCCTAGAATTATCATTTTTATTTTTTTAAGATTTTTATTAAAAATATAGCTAACATACAATATTGTATTAGTTTGAGGGGTATACCATAATTATTTGACATTTCTATACCTAAAGAAGTGATCACCATGATGAGTCCAGCAAACAACTGACATCGTACCATGCTATCACAATATTACTGACTATATTCCCCATGCTGTATATTACATTCCCATGATTTATTTGTTTTACACCTGGAAATTTAAACCCCTTCCCATTTCCCCCCCTTTTTAAATTTATCAATTACAGTTGACATTCAATATTATCTTATTAATTTCAGGTGTACAGCATAGTGGTTAGACATTTATATAATTTAAAAGTGATCCTCCTGACTAGTCTAGTACCCACCTGGCACTATACATAGTTATTACCATGTTCTTGACTATATTCCCTGTGCTTTACATCCTCATGACTATTTTGTAACTACCAATTTATACTTTTTAATCCCTTCACCTTTTTCAACCTGCCCCCTCCCATCTATCACCCCAATAAATTTAGTACCCATCTGACACCATACATAGTTATTACAACATTATTGACTATACCTCTTATGTTATACCCTATATCCCTGTAACTATTGGGTTATCAGAAAAGTCATGATGTATTTTTTCTATGTTTTTCATTGCAAAAATGCATCATGACTTTTCCGACAACCCAATACTTTGTAACAACCAATTTGTACTTAATCCCTCCCCCTTCTTTCACCTGCAACCCCAACCCTCCTCCTGTCTGGAAACCATCAAAATCTTTTCTGTATCTATGAGTGTTTCTGTTTTGTTTGTTAATTTTGTTCTTAGATTTCACATATAAGTGAAATCACATTGCATCTGTCTTTCTCTATCTGACACTCCACTCAGCATAACACCCTCCAGGTTCACTATGCCACTGCAGATGGCAAGAACCCATTCCCTTCTATGGCCGAGCAATATTCCATTGTATATATGTACCACCTCCTCTTTATCCATTCTTCCATTGTTGGACACCCAGGCTGCCTCCACATTTTGGCCATGGTCAACAATGCTGCAATGAACATATGGATGCACACATTCCCTCAGAATAGCGTTTGGGTGTTTTTGGATAAATACCCAGAAGTGGGATTACTGGGTCCTTCTATGTCTCTTCTTATAGCCTTTGTTTTAAAGTCTATTTTGTCTGGGATAAGTATTGGTACTCCAGCTTTTTTTGTTGTTTGCTTATTTTTCATTTCCATTTTCATGAAATATCTTTTTCCATCTCTTTTCTTTCTGTCTGTGTGTATCTTTTAATCTGAAGTGAGTCTCTTGTAAGCAGCATATATAAGGGGTTTGTTTCCTTATCCTTTCAGCCCTCCTATGTCTTTTTTTTTAAAGACTTTTTTAATTGGGGAATTGGAGGATGGGAACAGTGCTGGGGAATTGGGGGGAAGGGGAACAGACAAGTTGCTGTCCTTTTTGTTCTTCAGTCTAGTTGTGGAGGACATTGATTCACTGACCCATGTTGGTATTATCATTGCGCTCTTCCCAGGCGAGGCAGACCAGTCGCCGGCTTCTGGACAGCCCTTCACGGAGGCTGTTGGCCGCTCATGCAGGCTGCTGGCCACACACAGTAGCCCATGGCAACCCACTACAGCAGGGGCTGCAGCCTTCGCCGTCACTGGCAACTCAGGCAGCCCAGCTCCAGGTCGAGCTG